TCAAAAAATGATTTTTAGCATTTATGAACCTATTCCAAATTGTAGAAAATATGAATTCTGATTCTTATGTGAAATGATTTTTTCTTCCATCCCTGCCAGTCATGCTCACCAACATTTATTTTCAGACTTTGCTCAAATATTTGTGTCTCTATTCTGAAATGTGGTGCTTTACTTCTTCAGGCCTCTAAGAAATCCAGTGTACTCTGGCTCAGAGTAAATGTGGGAACTCATGTGAAGTCTATTGATATTCAGCTCATAATGCAAAGGTGCTGGAATGTCTTCAAAGAGAACAAAGACAGCAGCAAAACTCACGTTACGTCTGAAGAAACTCAGTCGAGCTCGATAGTTTCTCCTCGCCAACCACATCTTCACAAACGACTGGATCTGTTGGTACACACACACACACAAATAAATGAATGATGATTAACAGAAAGACACCAACAGACAAAAACAGACAAAGCTATAACAGAAACAAACAGTGCTCAGGCAGTTCAGTTAAAAGCCTTGATTTGGTTTGTTTGGTAGCTTCACCACAGCTGTCCAGTTCATGTAGAGAAGCTGTAGCCGTCGTCTGTATGCCCTCTGCTGGACAAACCGCCTCCAGTGACTCTGAACACACACACACACACACACACACACACAAACAGATAGCTATATCAGATGCACCTGAATAACAGAAACCTCCTCCAGTCAGCTGTGCTCTCACCTGGATGATGATCACAGCAGGTGCCTGACTGATCAGGTAACACTGTCGAGACTTCAGCTGCTGTCTGATCAGGAACCCTCGACAAAGAGCCTGCAGGTGAACGACAAGGGCTTCACGGCCTCTCCACAGGATGTTGCGACTGGATGAACCTGAAACACTGTTGATGATGTCCTGCAAGGGAGACACGACATCCATGCTGGTGACCAGGTGCAGTGGGGCACAGACACACCCATATGTATTCTTTCACTAAAACTGACATTTTCTAAATACAGAAGCAAGACTGCAGTACCTGCAGCAGAGAGGCTGACCCACTGGTGTATCTCACCTGTATCTCATGTCTGTCAATGAACACACTGTTGTGTATGAATCTGTTCGGTCTCTCCCAGCTTCCCTCCAGTCTACTCAGGTGGAAGTGATAAAATGCACCATCCTCCAGTTGGACTCGTACCCACGGACTCCTGTTGTCTCCTGAACACAAACAGCAGATGGATGTCTGAGTGAACACATGCATGCTGCAACAGATTTATAGTCAGTGTGGACATTTGCAGTTACAGAGATGAACACTTGTTTCAGCTCAGTTAAGTGTAGAGCCACATCCATATCTCTTAATGTTGTCATGTCTCAGTCAGCTCTGAACCTTTTGTGTTTAACTCATGTGGACACTCCTCGTCTCTTGTGCTTTCATTTCTCTCCCTTCCCAGGGAGTCAGTTAAATGACATTTAAACATTACTATCCCTGACAGCTGGTTGACTTAGTCAGTATGAGGTATTATCAGTGTGTTACCTTTGTGTATCCGTTGTGTGATCAGAGCGGTGAGCTCTCTCTGATAATCTGCAGCACAGTTAGAAACGAGTCCCTGCAGCTCCAGCTCAGGTAGAGACAAAACACGAAGAGTCTGATTCACTTTGTTCTCCTTCACAGCCTGGTTCACTGCTGCCACTGACAGACACACTGCATGTGGGTATATACACACAGCAAAGCAAAAGAAAAGCAAATTTTATTAATATAACACTTTTCTAAGCAAACTGTTACAAAGTGCTGCACAAAAATATACAAACAAGAAAATAAAATAAAATGCAATAAAACAGATGGGACTTAGTCAGTACATGTACACCGATACCGACTGACACGCTGCATGGGGTATAGATGGGCTATACATTTAACAGAATGCAATTTTCAAATCA